GAAATTACAGCTACCAGCTCTTTAGCTAATCTTAGCCTTTGTATACATGTTCTTCTCCAGGAACCCAGAGTATCATCATGTACCTGCGTAGTATATGTGCACATCCAAGCAGCAACGTAATTCACAGATGGAATTTTTCTCAATGTGCAGATTATTATCATTTATTACAATGCATGTGCCACACAACTCTGGTTCTTCTGCTCCCATAATGAGGATGATTATTAGAGCTGGTTGGAAGGAGAGCACCCCAACGGAACTAACAAGAAGGAGAAAGCACAGCAGGGGCAACAAGGAGTGGGTTTCCCTTCTCTTAATGGATATCCTGAATTACAGAGATGCTGCAGTATTAGGTCAGGCAAATTTGTTTGTGCAAATTAACACCCCACAACTTACACAAGAGACAGATAATACCCTCATTCTTGGGCAGAAATATAAATGCGGAGGACTCTGCCTCATCGCCTTAGTCATTTTGAGAGGAGCCAGGGTTTGTTTTTGTTTTTTGGGTCTTCCTTGGTCTGCAGCCACCATTGCCAGACCCTGCAATGAAATAAAGTGCCCTGCCCCCACCGTTGCCTCTTCCTCCAACAACTTGTTTTCTTCATTAGCCATGGGAATGGTGAACCCATCGTCCCATTCAAGTTCGGCCAGCACCAAATCAGTAGAACTGATGATGGGATCACTGGTCCTGCCGCCACTGCCACTGCCTTCGTTGCTCATGGTACCTCTGCATCAATTTGGCTGTCATGGCTGCCGGGCCACCTTTGGTTACCTTAGCAACAGCCAGAATGCATTTCCTCAGCAACTGCCATGTGCAGAGCTTCAAGTTCCAGTCAACCTGGCTCACTTGCGTGCTTCCCTCCCTCCTCCCTTCCCAGCTTATTAGCTGGTTGCAGCCGCTATCACTCATTGCTGGGGTTGTCAAGGTTGATGGAAATTGTAGTGCTCAGACTCAACAGGTAGCAGCACCTGGTCAGTGTCCGAGCTGGGGAAGTCAGGGCTGTAGGTTAAGATGAATCCAGATATGGAGACTGGAAAGTCAGGCAAGCGGAGGGTGGCAAAGTGAGGCCGGGCTGTGAGGGGAGGGGAAAGGCGGGGCTAATCAGCCAGTTTGCTGAACTGCACAAAAAATTAGCTATCGGTTCTCATAAATGGTGCGAACTGGGTGTGTTGTGAACTGAGGTTTTCACTCAGGTCTGCTGTTTAAGCAGAAGAAGTGGTTTGTTATGATTGGCTGTTCCGTCTGACAGTTGACTATAAAAGGAGAGCTTTCAGACCGAGACAGCTGTTGCTTGTTAGCCGATCTGTTACTTGCTAGCTGAGCTGCTGTCACTGTTAGCAGAATTGTTAGCCGAAATAAAAATTAGCAAAGGCTCTTCCTTGTCATCTCCATTCTTCCACCCACAGTATTTAATAGGATGAATCCCACCATTGCCTCTACCATTCAGTCAGAACTGAAGAAGGTTCTTGGATAAGAAGCAAAACGTCTTCTAGGAAAAACAGTCTAGTTAATTTTTGAAAAAGATCTTTGGGACAACTAGATGACTGAGAATCTCAATAGAAATATGCAGTGGATGTTTTAACCTTTGCACAGTATTCATTTCACAGCTTGCACCAAAGAGTTGAATAAAGCCAGGATGCTTACCCAGGTAGGGAGGCAAAATAACCGACTAAGGAGACATATATAACCTGTGATCTTTCAGGAAGTCCTCTGTAGTTGATATTTAATCAATCTACATTATTATTATTATTACACATTTCTAGAGGATATGAAAATCTTCTAAAAATACTTCTGAACACTGGAAGCATTTTGCTAATTTATTATTTATTAAAATTATATGCCCCTTATCTCTCAATCTAGCAAGTCTGGGCAGCATATACATTTAATAAATTTAAAAATATAATAAATTTTATAAATCCGATATATATTCAGATAGACTAATTGCCTGTCATTAGGCAGAACTGTGCAAGTGCAATCATAGACATGACTGGAATAAATGCTACTCTGAAGTTAGAATGAAGTAATCAGAATATAATACAAAAACACATGTAAAATGCAAAGTTACTGCAATCTCTCTGTGAAATTTCCTGCTGCTTTCTTAGAAACGCCCATTGTTCTTTCTCCCGATTCAAAGAAATTGTAGACCTTAAACCACAGCTGATAAATATGTGATAACAAGACTTAAAGAGTGCAGTCAGCTCAAGAGTTGTATGAGTAGGCAGATGTCAACAACTGTCAGGTTTGTTTGGAAAAGATTATCAAAATATTAGGTGGTGGTATTTCATTGTTTATTAAATTTATTTGTTGCCTCTCTAACTAGTAAGTCAACTCCGGGGAGCTTACAAATCATAAAAAAATAAACATGAAAATAATTAAAATGACAGTTACAATTACAACACCATATAAAAACTAGAGTGAATGAGATTGATGGCCTGGGGATGAGATCATCTTCTTATCCATTAACCTCTTCCAGCAGTGCACACTCCCCTCAGGGCCCCAGCAAAACCAGGTTTTGATATGCTTCCAGAAGCTTGGAAGGGTTGGGGGCAATTCTCACTTTGGGTGGTAGAATATTCCACAGGGCCAGGGGCACAGAAGGAAAGGCTTGTGCCAGCTAGAATTCCTTGGCTGACAGGGTCCACAGTAGGCCCTTTCCGCTGGAGCCAGTGGACCAGACATTGGGGCCAGACAGATACTCAGATACCCTGGTGTGCTTTATGCATCTACAAGGTTAAACATATTTTTCACCTTAAAACTGGGCCCCCAGGATCCATCCACTATGGCAGAGTCTGGGGCCCGAAAAAAAGACAGAGATATTCCAATGAATATTTTGCACCAGTGGGATCTTTTTAAAGTGGGAACTGTGAGCTGAGAGTACAACAGAAATATAAAGGGACAGAAGAATGGCAAAAATAGCAATCCTAAAGCCCTAACTTTCAAGCAAAGCCTTCATATTCTATATAATGAAGTTTACAATTTCGCTAAATTTCACACCAATACAGTAAAAACAAAGAAATTAAAAGAAATGTAAATATAACAGTAACAAAGTAATGAAACTATAAAATAAGCAATGAAAGTACTATGAGATGGGTGGGGGAAGCAGGAAATGCAGGGGAGAGGTGGGGTCTGCACTTTGGTACTCCCCATTAGGTCCACAGGCCAATTGGCAATGCCCGGTCTTCAGACTCTTGTGGTAGGATGGGGAGTGAAATCCCATCCTGGCAGGATGAAGCAGTTCATCGGGTAGCCTGGAACTATGCCATTAAGGGCCTCAAAGGTCACGACCACCTCAAACTGCATTTGGGAGCAATCCGGCATCCTGTGCAATTTGTGGAACAGCAGTGTGATACGGAGCATTCCAGGGACCCCAAAGATTGTTCATGCTGCTGCACTTTGTACTGGCCAAAGCTTCTGAATGGATTTCAAGGTTACCCCGTTGTAGTAGTCCAGGTGAGAGATGACTTAGACTTGAGTGACTGAGTGACCCTCCAGAAAAGGTCATAGCTGGCGCACACAGTGAAGCTGTGCAGACTCTCCTAGCCACATCTGCCACCTGCTCTTTGAGCAGGAGTTACGAGTCCAGGAGAACCTCTAAGTTGTGAATTGGATCTGAACAAGGTAATGCAACCCCATCCAGAACGAAATATGACAAAAACCTGGATCTTGAGCTCCATGCACCCAAAACCACTTGGTCTTGCCAGGATTCAGTAAAAAGCCTATTGTCCCCCATCCAGGCACCTACAGCTAGTGAGAAAGTAGTAACAGCATCACTCAGGTCACCAAGTATGGAGGCATGGAGATGTAGCACCATCAGCATACTGATGATATTTCAACTCATGGTCACAGATGATCTCATTTAGAGGCTTCATGTAGACATGAAACAGGACCCAAGATATTTATACTCTGTGTTCTTTTCTTGTTCTCCAATGCTATATTTTATGCAGTCCTACTGAGAAAGGTAATCTCCATGCTGAAATTTTTTTAATGTATTACCAACAAATTACATCAAGTCTTGGTTTCTCCCAAGAGTGAACTAAAAACCAGTTTAAATATGAAATAGAAAGGCCTTCAGGGGACATGTGTAAATTCTGCACCACTTTCCACATATCTGTGAGAAGCACCATCTACAAGTTATCAGTCAGAATGCCTGAAAAAAAGTTGTTTTGTTACCTTAAGTTAGAAGATACTTTTTCATGTAAATAATGATACTTTTAATATTGAAAGCTGGACCAAAACATTCCTACCTAGAGAAATAGACCGGGGTATAGACCTTTAGCCTAGCTATTGGACCCAAAGTTCTCATTAAAAGTCTAATTTGCTTAAGACATGCACATCTAAAGAAGACACCTGCATATAGGTTGCTCGTATTCTCATCTATTGGCCTTACTTTCTCATATATTTAGAGGCTATGCATTAAGTTTGTCAAGAGGATAGCGCTATAGTAAAAGGGTACCAGTAACACTCTCTTTTAGAAATGTTAAAACAAGACCTGCCTGGCTAATTTTTGGTTTCAATGTAAGAGAAAGAAGTGAATCTTTGCAGTTATACCTTAAAGGTTAACAGTTTTTAGCAATCTACTAAATGCCATAGGAATAGGAGCCAACTCAGATATCTCATCATCCTTATAGTGCCATTTCCCAGGAAAAAATTGCTTAACCACCATGTTACTATTCACCATTTTGTCTCAATCTCCATCGTATGAGAGCAATATTTCAATGCCTCTAGCAAAAACCTTCAATGAGGTTTGTAAAAAAATGCACAGCCCTTCTTTAACAATTGTATTTGGTTAAATAAGTGGTATGGAGACAAGGATTCATGTTGCATTTGCCTTGAACAAAACAGAAATCCAATGTTGAGCAATAAAAGACAGTTCTGTAATACTTGTGCATTACACCGTATGGATCAAAGCTGCCTTTCTGACACCCCACCTATAATTATGAATAGTTTGCATCATTAGATATTTCTCATACATTCAATCAGCAATGTATTACATACATTGTTGAATATAATAAACAGATTTGTAAAATATTTTCATGAATATTGTAGAGTCAATTAATTAATACTTTGTTATAATTTTGTTCGCGATAGTATCAAGCCTTTTTAATTTTTTGCAACCATCTTTAGCTTAAACAATAAACATTATTATACATTCTTTGCTTCATCACGCATGTAATTATTTAATTCCTGCTAATAATTTATTATACGCCAATATATTGGCAAATGTAAAATATTATATCCTAATGTTTTGATTACAATCAATGTGTAGATCTCTAATCTGAGCTATTACTAAAATAAAATAATTTTTAAAAAATCACCAGTTATTTTTATTTGAAAAAAACATTTTTGAGGATATATTAATACTAAATTAATTAGGTTGAAGTATAGCTTATCCCTAATATGAGCACATTTGTCAATCTATAGTAAGCACCTATACACATCTGTGACTAGAAGGAGAAAGAGTATTTATTTATTTAATTCTACTTAGAAATCCACATGGTTTTAATCAATTCTGGACAGTTCACATCGTAAAAAATAATATACATACATTAGAATGTATTTACAAGCAAAAAAAGAGCATGTTGCAAATATACTGCTAAAAACAGACTCTCAGCTGTGTTAAAAATTTAAATGCATATAAAATAAGTACACTTATAAAGCAGTGTTGATACTGATATGTTCAATTGTTTATATGTTATTTAAGAACTCATAAAAATGGCCTGTTCCAAACAAAATGGCATTTTGCAGCTGTTGAGGATAAGCCCAAAATAACCCAGCCATCTTGCGCATCAGACAGCAACTACAGCTGTACTAGGCAGCCCAAAGAGATACTTTATGCTGTGTAGAAGTGTAAGAAAGCAACTCTCTTCAAATGACAAACGCCTGTTTCCAGCTTGTGTAATTGTTCTCAGAAGTTGCTCCTGGCGGTTACCTATCTTTGTCTCTTGATGAAGCAAAGTGTGCATGCCCATAGGAGAGGTAGCTGGGAAACAATTCCAAAGCAGCAGGGTGAACCTTGCAAAAAAAGAGTCGTCTGTAGGTTTGAAGAGAAATACTCTGCATTGTCACACATGGTGTAAGACCTCTTTCTTATGCTTTATATAGCTAACAAAAGGGAATATTAATGATAGGACATTCAAAAGATTTCAGGCCTCCTAGCCTATTATATTAGTATACTTGCAAAAACAGTCTGTAAAAATAAGACTAGATCATATCAAGGGCTTATCTAACTCATAACTTAATTCTCACTAAGGGGAGAAGTTCAAAAACAGGATGCCAGCACAAATGCAACCTTCCACAAGTGTATATGTGCACATGCAAATTTTCCCTCTTGAAAATGAGAAACCTCCAAAAATTATATTAAAAAACTGAGCAAGTCAAAATGAATTATTTGAGACACTGACCAGTGTAAGGAGGGTAGAATCTGGTCATTTAAGAAGCTTAAAGGATACATCAAAAATAAAAATCTAAACATGCTTATAAAAGTTTAGAAAATGCAAACAATATACTACAAAGTGAAAACAATAAAAAGCGTATTTAAAAATGGGAGTCTAAAAAAGGGGTAGGAGGAGGTTGCATGGTTGCAGGAGAGCATAAAAGGTTAATATGTGGGAAAGTGGATCTACAAGTAACAAAGCACTTTAATAAAATGGTAAACTAGGTGCTCAGGAAATCTAGGTCATCATCATATGAACCTGGAAACATATATTGAGGCAGGATCGGTATCTGAAAACTAAAAGGATGATATAAAATTAGCCAGGATATTTGTACCATATTTGTAAGCAAGAATTCTTTTTTTTTTTTTAAAAAAACAACCCTGTTCACCTTACATTATTTTAAATGAAAATGTTGTACAATTTGGCTTGTGGGAGTATCTGGTGAATAAACAAGAAATCTGGTGAATAAACAAGAGAATCAGTTCCCACATGACATATCAATTTAGGAATCCGTCTCCACCATATAGGACATGTTACATCAGCTTCAATGCAAACATCCTTCCAGAGGGTGTCTGAAATGATCTCAAGACTTATGCTTCTTTCATCTAGGAGACATCGGAAGGTACTGGCATCAAAGCTAGTTCTTGGGACGCTTGATGTTCTGATGGCATTCGGTATCTCACCTTTTTCCAAAAGGAACTATTTGCCGAAGAAGAGTTTTTCTTCATGATGTCCCCTTTCCATCTGATAGCTCCCTGTTTTTGCTTGATGTATCTAATGGACTCGGGCATGTGGCTGTAATCCTTTATCTTACTCATTTCAATCAGGATAGTTTTCATTCCATCAGGTATAAGAGCATGATACACTGCTATATTCTGCTCAGGAGCCTCTTCTAAGCTGGACAGCCCAGGTACTAGAATCATAATCAGCCTCCTGCATTGCACAATGGTGTCATCAACAACGTTGACTAACGCTATAAATAACCACAGATAAAGATTGTATCAGATGTTAATACCCACAAACTTATTATATTGTTTTAGATACATATGGATTTAAAGTGGCATAATAATGGGCAAAAAAACAAAGACTACCCTGTTTCTCCAACAATATGGCCTCCCCCAATAGGAAGTCCCAGCATGTTTTATAGGCATGAAATGAAATTAAGCCCCTCCCCCCAAATTAAGGCCTATCTTAAAACATGCGAAATGGGGGGGAATGGTGGGGGGGCTTGCCGTTAGGAAGTACTTTTGTTGCACACCTGGATATTGTGCTGCCTGCGTTGACCCAATATGAAGTGCCCCACCAACGCCGAGGTCAACATCCAAGCCATCGCTGCCTGCCCGCCCAAAGATGCAAGGGGGGGAATTAAGTCACCCCCGAAAAGACGGCCTAGCCATTTTTTCGGGGCTCAAAAAAAAATAAGACCCGGCCTTATTATATGAGAAACACGGTAGAATCACCATTTCTATATGCAAGAAAATAATACTTTAAGAAGGCTTGAAATATAGCCGTCTTGAAAAAATAGAACAGGAGATTAATCACTGAATGCTGTCAAAGAGTTATTACATAAAGGCCAAACTAGGTGCTATAGAAATGAATGCATCTCACATTCCTTGTCATGTAATTCAACAATAGGCACCATAAGATAGGTGTGTGTGTGTGTGTGTGTGTGTGTGTGTGTGTGTGTGTGAGAGAGAGAGAGAGAGAGAGAGAGAGAGAGAGAGAGAGAGAGAGAGTCAAAGTCCTTGACTTACAACAGTTTATTTAGTGACTGTTCAAAGTTACAATGGCACTGAAAAAAGTGACTAATGACCATTTTTCACACATGACCATTGCAGCATTTTCATGTTCACATAATCAAAATTCAGACACTTGGCAACTGACTCATATTTATGACAGTTGCAATGTCCTGGGATCACGCAATCGGGTTTTCCAACCTTCTAAAAAGCAAAGGCAATGGGGAAGCCAGATTCACTTAACAACCATGTTACCAACTTAACAACTGCAGTTATTCACTTAACAACTGTAGTAAAAGATTATAAAAAAAGGTTATAAAAGGTTATAAAATGGCCACCTAATGAGAAGGAAGACTAGAGAAGAGCCTAATGCTGGGAACAATTGAGGGCAAAAGAGGAAGGAGACAGCAGAGAATGAGGTGGCTGGATGGAGTCACTGAAGCAGTCAGTGTGAGCTTAAATGGACTCCAGGGATGGTAGAGGACAGGAAGGCCTGGAAGAACATTGCCAATGGGGTTGCGATGGGTCGAACACAACTTCGCAACTAACAACAATATATATATGATCCAATTTTATTCAACTAATATTTCAAAGCAGCATGAAAATGTTAAGTTTACAATTGAAAAATTATTTTAAATATTATCTTTAAACCATTTTTAGGGTATTATGCAATATAATAAAATTATCCATTCTTTTTACTATAAAACTATGCAATCCTGCATTGTTTGGGTACACGCATATTTGACTCATTTATATCCTTTTTTTTTTTAAAACAAGTTTTATTAAAAGTTTCAACAACAAACAAATCATTACATATTAAATCTTTCCCTGTCTTTCTACAATAATTTCCCCAATATTCTCATAAAACACAAACAAACACAAACAAACATAAAAAAAAATCTTTTAGTAAAGTACCTTGGCCCCAGTTACCTCTCTTTGCATGGGCTAAAATAATAGCACATATCACTCTTCACATTTCTATCTTATTTAATCCATCTTAATTAAATCATTAAATTTGTATCTTTTGCCCATTCATTATCCCTCTATCTCTTCTTATAATAAAAAGAATTTCTCCTGAAATCACTAATCAGAGTATGATGCCTTTCTATCCTCCCCCTAAGTTAGTAAAATTAACATTCAGCATAACAAATACCCAATTTGGTTCTGCTTGGTACATTCTATCCACCAAAAATGTTTAAATACATTGTATCCTCCTTTCCTTCGATATTTTATTACATTTTAAAAATCAATCATTATTAAAAACTTCAACATTTTAATTTCTTATTAAATCTTAAACCATTCTAATTTACTATTTCAAATATAAATGTTACAATACCATCTTCTGTACCTTAGCAGAATCTTTCTTACAGAAATTTATATTTCATCCTTTGTCTCTAAAAAAAATCCCTCTTCTCCCATCCAATTTTAAAGCTTTGAGGCTTTTCTCCGCCTTTCCCCTTTCTTTCTTCCCCCACCAAATCTTCCTACCCCCCCTTCTTCTTCTAACCTCTGCCTTGCTGGGATCCCTTCTCTGTTGTGTTCCCTTTTTCTCTTGTTTGTTATCATTATATTTACTTTGCATCATATTTTTCTCTTTCTCAAATGTTTTTTTAGATCTTAAGTCCTTCATTTTCCTTGCTCTCTTCCTTCCTTCTTCCTTAGATAAGTTTTGGGATTCAATGAAGATGGCGTCTTCATCTCTTCCTTGTTGTTCTTCTTCCGTTTCCATCTGTTCCATTGTCTGTTGGTAATTGACCAGCGCCATTTCTAGAAATAGAAAAGCTTTTTCCATGCCATCTTTGCAGGCTGCTTTTGTTTGCTCATATTCATCCCTCAGGTCTTCAAAAAGGAAAGCCATTATAAATAAATCTTTTCTTTTCTTTATTCCTCTTTCTTCTTACACCAACCAAATATTCCGAGAGAAAGGCAAAACAATCCCAAAATCCACAATCCTCAATAAATCCAAGCAAGCCAAAATTCCCCCTTCCTCTTCCAGGGGTGGTATCAAACAAATAAAAAAAAAAGAATCCAAATCTATATTTTAAAGCCTTATTAAGATTATATTTCTGTCCTCAAGTCTTCAAGGCATCTCCTCCAACAAGATCCAAATTTATATATTTTCTTTATCCTCTCCCTTCCGGCTTAATTCCGTCGGGAGGGAGAGTAAACTTTCCCTTCAGCACCTCAAAATAGCCGCTTTTTTTTTTCTCTTGTGGAAGAAATCATCAGAAAACCATCTTTTCCAGGAATTAAATTAGATAAATCTCAAAGCCCTGGGTCGACCAAGAAGAACTTTCACTTTCAATAACTTTCTCTTCTTCCTCCTGCGCATACTTGCCCGGCTGTCAACTTCTTTGTGGCGGCCATTGCGGACCGCCGCTGCACCGTCCTGGTAACAGGGGGTTCTGCCGGCCAGGGAGGGGGTCTGCAACACCCCCAAACCCTTCCTCCGGATCCCCCTTACCTTCAGCTACCCCTGCAGGGCAGCCTTGCTCCGCACCCGTCCGGGTCGGAGCCCCAAAACGGCTAGCGCGGCAGGGATCGCGCAGCTTCGCGAATCCCTACCGCTCGCGAAGCCGACAAACCGGAAACCCCCCCGACTCATTTATATCCTTGATCCCAGCTGCAGATTTCCTTGGGCGCAATCATAATAAGTGGCTTTTTAAATTCCTCATACTGCCTTCAACAGAGCACTGATTTGAGAAATTAAAATGATTTAAATGATAAATCTGCAGATATAAGAGATTGGCATATTATTGTTTTCTTTACTCAAATACGCATGTATAAATTTATTGTAAAGGAAAAATAGTTGTATTAGCACTTCACCCACAATTTAGTTTAGCACTTAGTTTTACAGTAAAAATAGATAATTTTATTATGTTGCATAAGACTCCATTGTAAAAATGGCTTAAAGATTATATTAAAAATAATTTCTCAATTTTAAACTTAGTATTTTCATGCTGCTTTCAAATAGTAGTTGAATAAAATTGGATTTTAACGGTAGAGGACTTTCTAATGTTACTTAAGTAACAAAAAAGAAGAAGTTAAGAATCTCAAGGGCTATTTTCTTTTTATTATTATGTGCATATGTTTTTATTGCTTTATATATGCTTACTTTGTATGTCACTATTATTTAGTAACTATATTAACAAATAAAATAAAATGTACCCTTTTTTAGTAACAGAAATATTCCTTCTTTAATCACTCTCCCAACCATCCCCATTTTTTAAAAAAATCTGCCTTTATTTTCATATCACATAAAATGCTGTATGAATTGAAGAGGACTTTAAGATTTTGGACTGCATAAATAATTATATCCACGGTACCAGATTGTGTGCATAGACCACTTACCAATTTGTATAGACGCTCTGAGTGAAATGGGAAGTCTCAAAATTCAATATATAAATAAAATAAATAGTAAATAAGCAACATCAGACTGAATGTTACATTTTACCTTTTCCTGGCAAATCATCCCTGCCAGGTATAAAGAGACTATATCCACACTGTTTTTCCAGAACATCAGGCAGTACTTTCAGTACAAAGTCAACTTGGCTGCTGAGTTTTGGATACAACACATATGCATCATAGATTTTTCCATCTGAAACTGACAGTATAAGAGAAAACTGCTTCAGAAATTATTAATAACCTCCATCCCTAATACATGAAACAGTTACAAGTAGAATTGATTCCAGAATAAACCAGGTCTATTTTATATAGGATGATTGAAAAACGTAACAAATGGGCATCTGTATCAGTGTTTATCAACTACGGCAATTTTAAGGCATGTGGACTTCAACTTCCAGGACTCTCAAATGTAAGCTGAGAAATCCTAGGAGTTGAAGTCTAATATCTATAAGTTGCCAAGGTTGAGAAACACTGGTTTATATAATGCTCAGGGGATGAATGGTGCGGAGGCCTAGAGGTGAAGACGCTTGCCTCCCACTCAGTTCAGAGTTCAATCCTAGGCAACAACAGATGTTTCTCTATCAGGGCTCAGAGAGAAAATATTTGGTGCAAACTCTGCATAGGCGTCAGGGAGGGCACCCGTCCAGTAAACACCACCCAAAGCAAAAGATTACAAGGTCATAAAAATAAATAAATAAATAAATATTGGTATGTCTATGTCTATCTGTGGTGGCGCAGTGGTTAGAATGCAGTACTGCAGGCTACTTCTGCTGGTCAGCAGTTGCCAGCAGTTTGACAATTCGGAACTCACCAGCTCAAGGTTGACTGAGCCTTCCATCCTTCCGAGGTGGGTAAAATGAGGACCCAGATTGTTGGGGGCAATATGCTGACTCTGTAAACCACTTAGAGAGGGCTGTAAAAGCACTGTGAAGTAGTATATAAGGCTAAGTGCTATTGCTATATCTATACATGTATAAAATGTTCAAAGCTTGTGTTTTCTTTAAAACATAGAAATGAATTAAAAAGAATAGCAACTCCTATAACATTTTAAATAACTGTTATATACAAAATGTTAAATCGCAATTACCAGTCCTTCAGCTGGTATTGGTCTTCATATGCATTGAGTTCTTCCTAACCTAGGATGCCATAATGTGTCACCTGATATACATGCACAACCAAGCAGTGTGGCCTTTTGTAAATGACAGATGGAAATACTGTTAATGCAGAGGGTTTTTTTAAGTGCTCTGTCCAAGATTTTTTGGTATGATATCCAGTAGCCCAATTATCACTCTATCATCATCATTTTCATCATCATCATTATTAAAAAGATTTCTGAAGTTAGAACTTGGTTTGTCATCTTCAGAAGGTAAGGTTATTGACCTTGTTTAACCACAATTATAGTCCATTTATTTGTCAGCATGTTTTTTTAAGTACAAGGAATTTTCACTTGAGGTACAAATGGACAGCTTCAAATTATCCTATTTTGGTCATTTACACAAAGATCTAGTTCTCTGGAAATGGCTCCAAGTCTGGAAAAAGAGGATGAAAAGAAGTGGAGGATAACCAGCTACAAGGTGAATGGGCTCAGGAATAGGAATTATGAATATTGGAAGACCGAAATGACCAGGATGGGGATAGATAAGTTATGGAGAAAAACTATATGATTTCTAAGAGTCAATACTGACTTAATAACACGTAATAAATCAATTTGACTATACTAATATTATTCCCTTTTAATACAAACAGAGTATTACCTTTTTTATGAAAAAAAGGGTGACATGATTTCCGATACCAAAGGACAATTTCAATCTTGAACAAGACGCAAATTAATACAGGTATAATCAGTAGTAATATCAATATCACAAAAGCTGCATGGTTTTTGGCTAAATCAGAAAAAAAATCATATTCAATTCAGTATTCTATGAAATGGTTAGGATAATGATTAGCACTGAAAAACCACTGAGCTAAATTTGTCTTTCCTCAGGAAGTATCAATGTCTTCAAGTTTAAAGAATAGATAAAAATCATATGTGTGTTATTGTTAAGAAAAGTAATTGTGGTGTTGGCCAGCCAGGAAATATATTTGTATCGAAGAGCTAATCCAGATTCAATTTTCACAAATTTAAAGTCATTAATTGTCTATATGGCTTTAAGTTACATTGGACACAAAATCACTTTTGCACAGAGGAAATGTCACTTCCTTGTACTCTGCTAATGCCTTTGATGGTACAAGATATTAGGGTCAAAAATCCCCAAATCCCAAAGATCTCAATTATGAAAGGAACAAGGGAACTTTGGTATCATATTCCACCACTCTTTGGATGGCAGTAACTAGCATAAGTTCAGGAAAGCTCCTTTAAGATCTTATTACAGGTCTTATTACTTGACTTACAACAATTCATTTAGTGATTGTTTGAAATTACAACAGCACTTAAGAGCATTTTTTCCCCTTATGACTGTTGCAACCCTATAACTTAGACAACTTTCCATTCTGATAGACATAGAATTTCCTATGGTTGAAATTTGATGTATACCAGAACACATTTCACAACAAACTACGTGGCTTGCTTTCCAATACTTGCACAGATTGTTTCCATTTCATTCTATTTCTCACTTCTATATTCAGTATTTCAGAGGCTGAAATGCTGCAGCAATATTTCATTATTTCTACAGCTATATCTTTTCCCTTTTTTTCTGTTCTAAATTTCCATTCTTCCCATACATTTAGAAATCAAATATAAAATGGCATACTTGGGTGCTGTATTTTGATGTATGCTGCAACTTCACCTGCATGGCAAGTAAAGTGCTGGTCATAATCTTCATTTTTCAATTCTGTGATGTTCAGAGACACTATAAAAATCTCTGCTCCTTCCTTTGGAATATTTGTTCTGTATTAAAATTGAAATATATTAAAATTTCACATTTAAGTTAGACTGTAAAGAACTGCCATGTTCACACAAAGGTTCAGATTCAAAACCTCAACTTAAGTTAACACTTGATGCCAGAAAAACTAGCTATATCATCTACTCTTTGCACTGTTTCACATATGCCAAGAATTGATATCATACAGCCATATATGCCTATTCAACTTGCTTATGCCTTATGTGGTTAATTGCAAAGAAGCTGTGTCTGAATTTCATTATTGATAAAGTAGACAGTGATTATATATGTCTATGGAGTTTCTCAGTCATCCAGGCCATGGTTGTCCCCAAAGTGCTTTTTCAAGAGACAACTCAACTTTCTTGTTTGTCTTAGAAGATGTTTGGCTTCTCATTGAAGAAGCTTCTTTGGCTATGACTGGATGGTGGAAAATGGAAGGATTTATATTCCTTGCAGACAGCTGGACATTTGCATTCTTTTAGAGAGTGGTTGAGGCTATTTGGAGATTGGTCTGTGTTTTCAGGGTCACCTACCAGTAAGTAGTGCAAATGGGTGTGGAACATTTTTGGAACTGCTGAAAGAGATCCTGTAGTCTGCAATATTTCTGCAAAATTCATACTCCCACACCATTCAAGAGTGTTCATCCTAAGATGCATAGCTAAATGTCTATGGACATTCTCATCCAGGTCACTGTTGTCCCAAAGGTGCTTTTTGTCAAGTGGCCTCAACAGCTTTCTAAAAGAATGCAAATGTCCAGCTGTCTGCCAGGAATATAAATCCATCCATTCCCCACCATTTAGTCACAGCTGAAGAAGCTTCTTCAATGAGAAGCCAAAGGTCTTCTTAGAAAAACAAGGAAGCCCAGTTGCCTCTTGAAAAAGCACCTTTGGGACAGGGATTATATAAATATATCATAATATCCAGTGGTCTATATAATACAAAATATTCTGAAATAATTCATCATTTGTTTGGTTTGTCAAAAGAGCATCAAGTTGTTTATGTGTCTTTGCATTAGTGTATGAGCATTAAATCTATTACAAAAGGAAAACAAATTGTGCTTGATTAATTTTTGTATTAAAATATATATCATACTTACTGATTTCCTTCTATAATTCTACCTTTAAATAGATTGTCAACTAGAGTATTATTGACTCTCCAGGATATAGAAATCATATTGTCTTTGAAACTTGATACATTACACTCTGTAAAGACATTGGATCCTAAACAATTAATAGAAAAGTTATTTTTTTAAATAGATTTATAAATAAATAAATTTATATCTGTGTAACGTAGTGAAGGCATTTCAGTTTTTCTTCTTGCCCACCCTGAATGTCATTGCATCATTGAGATTAAAATGTGTGCAAATGGAAAATGGTTTATAAGTTTTTTATTGTTTTTTTTTAAATTAAGATAATAGCAGAAAACTTACCAACATCAGCTTCAATAGTATTGTTTATGGGATACAAAATTTCAGGTCTTTTCCTGGGTAAATTTTCTGACAGAACACAAATATATATATATATATAAGCCTTTATGTCATACATATGCAAAGGTCACGTAATTAACATTCATTTAAGCCAAAATTTTGTTATGTAAATTTTAGAATATCAAAACACATTACAAAGATTATCTTAGAAGCACATAAACTTGCTGATAGCTTGGTATGTATGAATTCAACATCTGTACAATTTTTATTCCAAGAAAAATCCCAGTGGCTTTCATACAGTTACTTAAATAAATAAAGCATTTTTAAAAAAATATATCAGCAACAAGAATAGAGAAGGAAGAAAAGGCAAAAGACATTCAGGGCCCAGAATTAAATTTTAAATACTATCCAGATGAATACTAGGACTACAATGATTTGAAAATGATTCATAAAACAACTTGGGAATGTGCACCTCACTGCCATTTACTGAAGCAGCCCATCTCTTTCCAGATTTCCAAAATGCAGCTGATGTTTTAAAAAACCAGCCTTACTACAACTTTCCCGGAATTCTTGTGAAGAAATATTTAAAAAGAGGAACTACTTTATTGACTAGCAAAAAGATGCTATGCTTGTGTGAGGTCCAAACTAGTGGAGCAGGTGACAAAAGAAACATAACAATGCAAGCTCCACCTCTTCCCTGTTGAACTTGCACATGATGTCACAACGGAAGTAGGAAATGGTGAAAATGGCATTGTGCCCACCTAACGTCACATTAGCATCACTGCAGTTAGGAAAAGATGCCTATAACCTAAAGCAATTCTTATGAATCATTTTGATATGTGAACAACTTGGATGCAATTCAGGGAGAGTGGATTTTGGTGGATTTTGTCTTTTAACAAGGATGATTTAACAGCCATCACTATTTTCTTTTCCTCTGCTACTACCTAATGAAGGGCAGACTGATAGAAGAGTCGGTACTGTTATTTCCAATGTTTAAGTGAAAAACAGTACTGACCCCTAAACTGTTCTGACCAAGGCTTCCTAGACCCTAACTACGCACACGCTTATTTTAAAAACAAGACTTATTTTATTGCAACACTGGGAATTGTTTTCATTCCCAGCCGGAATTAATCTCAGTCTCTCGAGATAAGCACCCACCTTTCTTTTTTGTGAAGTGCTGCCAATAACAGAAGTATCAAATGAACTAGGAAAAAAACCCAACCAAAGTACAAAGTGCTTCAAGAATGAATCTGAACCAAACGAACTACTTTGCTTCCTGCAAAGGTCTCATCATCTTTGCCTGTCCTTTATACCTTATGGGAGGGGCAATCATCTCCCAGCCTTACTCCCGAGTTGCCCCTTTTGTTTCAGCTGCTCTCGCCTCTTAACAGCTCTGCGCACACGTGCACTGGGAACAGGCTCCCGAGTCCTCTGCCTTGCTGCTGCCAGACTCTGAAGGCTCCGGAGGCAGTACCTGACTCCCAGATGGTCCTGGCCCCATCTCTGTATCGGACGCAGGACCCTTGTCCAAGTTCTTTTCAGACTACTGGACTGATCCCCATTCTTCCCACTGTCCGATTCCACTGCTGTCTGCACCGGCTGCCGGCGAACTACAAATAAACTATCACGACGACGCCCGCCCACTGACCTGGCCTGTAACCAGCACCATACCCGGGTCTGCAACAAAGGCGCTTGGCGGAGGTAGGGAGCTCTCCATGCTCCGCCATGATTGGCCGTTAGGAGCAGCGGGTGGTGAGGCGTGGCTGCCCGCAGGGCGCTCCTAATGGCAAGTTCCCCCTGCCCTCCCCCCCATTTCGCATGTTTTAAAATAGGCCTAAATTTGGGGGATGGGGCTTAATTTCACCTTATGCCTAGAAAACATGCTGGGACTTCCTATTGGGGGAGCCAAATTGTTGGAGAAACATGGTACTTTTAATTGGAATTTAAAAAAGGATTAATCTGTTGAACAACCATATTTAATTTTGAATTCTCCCTTGCAATTGCATGCATTATATACACTAACACTGATTAAAAGGACTTTTGGAATATTAAATGTTGTTTGATATAATGTGTATATTAGTAGCACAACACATCTCAATTGCTAGATAAATATATAACATGATCATTTTGAAAGGAGCATTAAATCTCTTTTAAAATATGTAAAATAAATATAAGTAAGCAGACAGGAAATGAGTGGAAAACATTCATTGCCCAGCTAATATAGGAGCAAATTACCTCTACTGATAACACACTTACTTACCTATTAAATCCACCAAAATGCTATTTGAAAAATTGTATTTATTTCCCCTAAAAGTATAGATTCCTTTGCATACATATTTTCCCTCATCATCTTTTTTCGGATCTTTCATAATAAGATGGTTTCTAAAGAACTCAAATTGTTCTCCTTGTACTGGCTCACATTCCTAAATATAACAAAGTAAAATATTTTAATGACGAAATGGGGAAGAAAATGCTTTTTAAATTGTAACATACTTCAATAGGCCTGCCAATCACACATACTAATTAGTATGTAAATTTGATTACACTGTGTATATGTACCTCCACATACATATACTCAACTTTTTACAACAACTTTGTAAAAAGATATTAGTTCACAGTTTAGGTTACTAGACATCCAGATAATAACAGTGGCAAGTGGGACCTTTCATTAGCTTATGATGATTAATTGATTGTGTCTCTACTTATAGCGGGAAATTTGCTTTCAGTGATACATGTGCTAATAACCTCAAGATCTGGTTTCTAAAACCTGTTATCAATAGGAAAACCACAGAAGGTAGTTTAGTTTACCTTACTTTATTGTCATTGCACCTCGTACAACGAAATCATGACCATGACCATGAAAATAAACACAAACACACATCCTTCACCCTTCACACATTGAACCGGAAACCCCCGACACCACACCAATACTGCACTATACAGCAGAATTCAAAAGAGCTACTGCCCTGGGATAGAAGCTGTTTTTCAGACTATTTGTCCTTGTTTTTATTATTTTGTACCGTCTGCCAGGTGGTAATAGTTCAAAAAAAGGGTTCCTAGGATCTAAGTTCAGTGAGCAATGAATCATAATTTCACCTGCTTCTTCAAAATTTCTCCCCTGCTGCTGTACTAATATTACAAAGGGAAAGCGAACTACAGGCTCTCATAACTGCTAACGTTCATTTAATATCCATTAAAAAAAATACAGAAGGGGGAATTTTAAAAGATCCGTACCTTATACCAATGAATAGAAAGATAATCTACTTCCTGTCCAAACTCATTCACTTGATGACACACAACCCTGGATGGTGTCCTTGGAAACAATGTTTGCTTAAGGTAGTATTTTTCGTTAAAACAAAGACCAGCACTGTTATTGAGAACTGCAGTTGAGACGCTGTACTTATAACATCTTGTTGAATTCCTATAACTAAACATTAAAATGTTAAAATTATTATTTGTTTTGTATAGTACAATTCTATTTTCTGCTCAAATATTTTATCAAACTTTGTATTTTATTTTCTTATACATTATTGCCACCATGTCCAAAATTATAAAATCATTCACCATTTAGATCAATATCTATATAAATAGATGCAAAATATATGCATTTTTTCTTTTTATTGTTATTTTTAGTCCTTTAAAACATAAACTGGAATTGGGAAGACTTTAAATATAACAAACTATAAAAGCAAATAGATAAAAGCAAATTATTATTTGGGGGTATCTCAAATGCTGTTGGAGAAAAATGCTCATTGCTGAGGAAGAATCTACATTTTAAATAAAATCACTTTAAGTCCATTCACTACCAAATTCATTATCTTAGCCATGGATGGAGGCAGAGGGAAAGTGGGCTATGTAAGATATATATAAGATGAAAAGGTAAAGTGTATTTTTTAATGAACCATCTTCCCTGATTCATACTAGTACTTTTAATAAGGATCATTATTTGAGCTGGCATACTGCCTATGCCAACATAGGCATGGACTATGCTCGAATTTTGTCTTATTTTTTTGCCTGAGAATGGAAGTTTATCTGTGGTCTGAGGATCTTCTGATTCAGGGGACAGAGGCATTGTTCTTTTCCTGTTTTCTTTAGCTTAAGTTCCTCATTTACAAGATCAGTGCCCTTTTTTAAGGAACAATAGTCATTTTAACTGCCCTGAAATATTGGAAAGCTATTAGAAGACTGCAGCAGCAGATTTGGATGTTAAAATAGGGTATATCCCTCAGTGCTAATAATGGCTGAGGTAGTTCATCAGTGGAGTTGGGGATGGCTAGTTCTACATTCTGCTGGGGAACTGACTATGGTCAGGTAAAGAGCACAACCCAGTAAATGCTATGGTGCCCACTTTATTGAACATTTTCTCCCCCACCACCCCCAAATTAGATTAGCTACATCCCTTTTGACATTCTGGAAATCCCAGTAGATCTGGTTATATAATCAATTTATATTTGTTTTATATTTCTTGCTTTTATATTTGTTGTTGTTCAATTATTTAATGCTGCCTAGAGTTGGGTGAGATGATACAAATTTGTTGAAAGAAAGAAAGAAAGAAAGAAAGAAAGAAAGAAAGAAAGAAAGAAAGAAAGAAAGAAAGAAAGGAAGGAAGGAAGGAAGGAAGGAAGGAAGGAAGGAAGGAAGGAAGGAAATAAATCACCCTGTAATGGTGGTGACTGAGTACTCTCTGTATTATTTAGATTCAAATAAGTTATCAGCTCCACCATATTACTTAATAGAAAGAATATGCAGTATGTCTTCTACAGGAGTAGCTTTTAGGTATACAGGTAGTCCTCAACTTACAACCATTTATTTAGTGACCATTCAAACTTATAACAGCACTGAAAAAAGTGTTGTTTTTCACACTTACAACCACTGTAGCATCCCCTTAGTCACATGACCAAAATTTGGGCGCTTAGCAACTGGCACATATTTATTTATGATAGTTGCACTGGTCAAGGGTCATATGATCTCCATTTGTAACCTTCGTAACTGGCTTCCAACAAGCAAAGTCAATGGAAGAAGCCAGCTTTGTTTAACGACCGCATGATTCATTTAACAACTGCAGTGATTTGGTTAACAACTATGGAAAAAAGGTCATAAAATAGGGCAAAATTCACTTAGTTTTGCCTAGCAATGGAAATTTTGGGCTTAATTGTTGTTATAAGTCGAGGACTATCTGTATTAAACAGTATTACTCAAGAACCCCACTCGTCTGAAGACTTTTGGGAGTATGAATGTCGAGGCATTGATTCTTCCCAGCTCATCAGCTACGGACCACAAGAGGGAAGTAGCATGTAAGAAGAAAGTTAAGGATTTACTCCCTCTTTGTCATTAACTTTGTTTGCAGTTGCCTAATAGACTGCTATTTCTGGGTCACTTCCTTCCACCTCCTCAAGTTCCCATGTACACAGCACATTAACCTCTAACAAGAACTAAGAATGCTGTAGTTTTGTTTTTTTCAGGAAGTTCCAATGCAAATTTATTTAGTCAAAAGTAGCATAGATTTAGAAGAGTGGTCATGCAATTTTAAAGTAGGTTTGATGGTAGCATGGAACACAGCATTGTTATCCCAAATGTCATCTCTCAAAAACTTCTCAGTTTGACATTATAATACCTCAGTGCTAGTGCACAATGCACTTCCATCAAGAAAGAAACATCCGACAAAGGTGTATTTCAGATTCTCAATAAAATAACAGTCATAGTGATGCAGTGGTTAGAGTGTAGTATTGCAGGCTAATTCTGCCAGCAGTTTGATCCTGACAGCCTTAAGGTTGACTCAGCCTTCCATCCTTCCAAGGTCAGTAAAATAAGGACCCAAATTATTGGAGGCAATATGCTGACCCTGTAAACCAGGGGTCCCCAACCAGGTCCCGGACCAGTACCGGTCTGTGGAACATTTTCTACCGGGCCGCCGGTTTGCTGGGCGCCGCCATCTTGTTTTGATGAGAAAGTGCTTCCGGTGAGCTTTTCCGGTTGGAAAGTGGCGTTTCCTCGCGCCTTAGTTTCATCGGCTTCGAACAAAACTAAGGCGCGGGGATTCTTTCAGCACCCAAGGCAAGGCGAGCCGAGCGACCGTCCCGAAGCCCATCGACAAAGGTATAAAGGAGGAGTTGAAGGTGGCGGGGAGAAGCGGGGGACGGCTGGCTGGCCGGTCGCTCGGCTCGCCTTGCCATGCGTGCTGATGCCAGTACCGGGCCGCGGATCATTTTGTGATGCCGGTACCGGGCCGTGGCACAAAAAAGGTTGGGGGCCACTGCTGTAAACCACTTAAGAGAGGTCTGTAAAGTACTATGAAGTGGCATATAAGTCTGAGTGCTATTGCTAATGCTAAACTTCTGTCCCCTGTATAAACTGCTGTCAACAATCCTGAGGGGTTTATATCCAACAATAAAATGATATGAAACATCATTGTCCTCTAGAAAATGCTGGGACTGCTGAAAAACAATCCTATAGAAAAACAGCTCCTACCTACATGAAAGCTATAGATTTTCTATTGTTTATGTAGTCAATTATTTCCCTAATTTTGGCAATCTAAAAAAAGAGCCATCAGCAGATTGATACAATTAGTTATGATCTACCACAGTCAAATGCCTGATGCAAACCATATACTAAGGCAAATCAATTAAAATAGAGCTGGCACCATTTCCAACCACCAGGTAACTGATAATGCCCAAGAAGCCTTCAATCATGAACCAATCCCATAACATTCAAATTCCACACAATTATAAATGCTGCAAAGTGATACCCACTTCTCAACCCTTGCTCTGAGGAAGCCTTGTCAAAATGTAATGTGGCACTCGTGCACAAAAAAAATGGTATCTACTTCAGTATAGATCTCACTAAGTTTAGATAACCCCAATTACAATTTAAATTCCCAATGATGTATCAAAATACAACTATCTCCTCCATTCCCAGAACCAATAAATGCCTTACCTTATAATACATTGATACAATCCTGAATCTTGAGCTATTGCAGGGATAAACCAGAGGCTGTTTTTCTGTTGGAATACTCTTGAAAAAGGTTGTGCAATTAAAGGTGTGTCATTTCCATTCATGTACCAGTTCAATGTAGAGTTTGCACGTTCATATCGAATTAAGCAATCAAGCCTAAAAGGATTGTTTTCTTCAAACATCTTCTGCCTTCCAATATATTCCTGGACACATTTCTCTACATGAAGTGGAAGAAATCATTGTATTTTAAACTATACATTCCAACAATAAGTCCATTGTTGAGGGGAAAAAACACTTTTTATCAAAATCCACTCAATTTGGATTGTGGCTATGGTCACTTTGAGGGGAGATCCTAAACACATCTTGTAAGACGGTTGCAGCCCTTGAGCTAAACAAACTCATACTTAATGTTCCAAGACTTTACTTTGCAGATACTTTTTGGGAAATGCTTTTGTAATATTCTGTTTTGCAAAATAATGACATGCAAGCTTAGCTATGGCCAAAGCAAGTCATGTTTCATTCAATGGCGCTTACTGTCAGAGAGCTTTCGATAGGACTACAGTCTTCATCCTATTTTGTTTATGATTGCAACTTGCAGTTTCCATCATTTATAGCTTGCAACATAAATTAAGAAACGAGGAAAACTTTCTTATCCCCTTATCTCTACATAGTCACCTTTGCTTGCCCAACATTTAGGATGGTGAAGCAGCAGAGTTTATCCAGCTTTCAGAGAAGAAAAGATCAGGGCATTTATAAAAGGAAACTTCCTCAGTTTAATTTGCCTGGGATCAGGGGTGGGATTCTACTGGTTCAAACCGGTTTGGGCAAACCCCAAGGTGCGACGATCAGTTGGCAGCAAACCGGTTCGCTGCCACGATCATGTGGGCCCGCCGGCCCGCCCTGTGCTGTACTTACCTATATCCTCTCAGCTGATTCGCGCAGCAGAGCGGATTGCCGCTCTTCAGCTGAGTTACTCCCAGCAGTAACATAGCAGGTAATTCTTTTCTGGAAGATATTCACCCACGTACGCGATCACCAAACTGGTTGTTACATCGGCAGCATCCCACCACTGCCTGGGATCCATGCCAGTGTCATTTAGCTTTTCCATTTACCTCAAAAAATCTTAATAAGCACTTCACTATCTCAAATATGGAGAAAAGTGCTACAATGAATGTGCTAATACAGGTAGTTCTTGACTTACAGCAGTTCATTTAGTGACCATTCAAAGTTACAACGGCACGGAAAAAAGTGATTTACTATTTTTCACATCTGCAGCCATTGCAACATCCCCATGGTCATAGGATCAAAATTCACATGCTTGGCAACTGGCTCATATTTATGACCTTTGCAGTGTCCCAGGGCTACGTGATCACTTTTTGCGACCTTCTGACAAGCAAAATCAATGGGGAAGCCAGATTCACTTAACAACCATGTTACTAACTAAACAACTGGAATGATTCCCTTAATAACTGTGGCAAGGAAGGTTGTAAAATAAAGCAAAACTCACTTAAAAACGTGTCCCTTAACAGAAATTTTGAGTTCAATTGCGGTTGTAAGTCAAGCACTACCTATAATCATAATCCTGCCACAAACCACCCCTGCATTGAAAGATTTAGTTCACTATTATAAGTTCTTTGTGGCTCATGGTATAAATTAGAACTGAGCAAAAAGAAGAGATAATATCAGCATTACAAAGCTAACTACAATAGGGATCTAAACACAAATCTAAAGTTACCTTTCTTTTCATGAAATAGCATCTCAGAAATTCACTTCAGAATTGGTTTTATTAGCTAGACCTGTATTTGTCAAACCTGGCAACTTTAACATGTGTGGAATTCAATTATCACGCTGGCTAGGGGATTTTAGGAGTTAAAGTCCATGTATTATAAATTGTCATGCTTGGAAAACACTGAGATAAACTTTAATAAACCCCTGCTTACAAAAATAGCACTTTATACTACTGTACCAGTGTCTGTAATTCAGATCATCAGTCCTTAATTTAAATCTAATTAAAACTAGGCCAGCATGCATTCCACAGTATGAAACACTTTTTGAAATAGTTTTGTCCATATTGCACAGAAAAATTGCCTACTGAATTTTGAAAAGTAAAAGCTTACATCTAATAACCAGAGTAATTATCATAAATACAATTGGTCCTATTTTTTTTTAACTCCGAGTGTTTGAAAAAGCTGTTTACAAGGAACTCACCTGATTTGAGTACACAGATAAATGAGAGGACTAGAATACAGTAATCGACTAAAGCAGGTTTCATGTTTTACTGTACAAAAAGGAAAGAAGCAAAAGATTCAATACATTCAAGCCGTAAATATTTGATATTTTTCTGTTTTCAATTCTTATCATTTACAAGAAATCTTGCTGTTTCCCTCCAGTCCTTCCACACATTCACACATCCCTACAAAATGCCAGTACAGTACTGTACAGTAAAACAGAATTAAATAAATCATCTCTGGATAATTTACTTTATCAGGCAACTTAAAGGGTTTTTTTTAGTATTTTTTTCCATTTATTGAATTTATTCAAGATTACAAAAAATAAACAAAGAGAAATAAAAAAAGATAAACAAAAAGAGATGCAAATTAAAGACCACTAATACCTGAGAAATAAAATTAAACAGAACTAAAATATAGGAAGAAAAAAAGACACACACCCCTCAAATTTAAAAATCAGAATAAAGATTGCCAATAGTAAATACATTGTATATGTACGGGTGTGCAAATGCATGTGTATTAGTAATAATTAGTTTACAAAAAAGTACTTTCTAACAGTACCTTGCTATTAACAAGAAAGAAAGAAATAATTTAAATATACTACTTTATTGTTGAACTATCAACATGAAATCCATGCCAAAGAAAAACCATCACATTAAAACACTATCTATGAAAAGATATGACATGAAAGAATCTTGGAATCAGCCATTAGTTATCTGTCCCCAAAACAACCATCTCAAAATCTTCCTAGGCAAAATTGTATCTTGGAATCTTAATTCAGCTACTGCTATAATTTGGCTGATGATCAAGGACAGTTACAGCTCATTTTTATTTATTTATAAATAATAATTTATAAATATTCTTTTGCACAATATTCTAATTTTTTGAGTTTTACACACACACACAAACACACACACACACACACACATATATATATGTGAAACTCAAAAAATTAGAATATTGTGCAGAAGTTCATTTATTCAAGTAATGCAACTTAAAAGTTGAAACTAATATATGAGATAGACTCATTACATGCAAAGCAAGATAGTTCAAGCCATGATTTGTCATAATTGCGATGATTATGGCTTACAGCTCATGAAAACCCCAAATCCACAATCTCAGAAAATTAGAATATTACATGCAATCAATAAAACAAGGATTGTACATAGAACAGTATCGGACCTCTGAAAAGTATAAGCATGCATATGTACTCAGTACTAGGTTTGGGCCCGTTTGAAGCAATTACTGAAGTGCTCCAAAATCTCCTGGTAGATGGCTGCGTTGACCCTGGACTTAATGAAGCACAGTGGACCAACACCAGCAGATGACATGGCTCCCAAATCAACACAGACTGTGAAAACTTCACACTGGACTTCAAGCATCTTGCAGTGTGTGCCTCTCCATTCTTCCTCCAGACTCTGGGTCCTTGGTTTCCAAATGAGATGCAAAAGTTGCTCCCAGCAGAAAAGAGGACCACTGAGCAACAGACCAGTTCTGTTTTTCTTTTGCCCAGGTAAGACGCTTCTGACGTTGTTGTTGTTCAGGAGCGGCTTGACAAGAATACGACATTTGGATCCATCTATGTGTGGTGGCTCTTGATGCACTGACTCCAGCCTCAGTCCACTCCTTGTGAAAGTCCCCAACACTTTTGAATGGCCTTTTCTTGACAATCCTCTCCAGGCTGCGGTCATCCCTGCTGCTTGTGCATCTTTTTCTTCCACACTTTTCCCTTCCACATAACTTTCTATTAATGTGCTTTGATACAGCACTTTGGGAACATCCAAGTTCTTTTGCAATTACCTTTTGAGGCTTTCCCTCCTTATGGAAAGTGTCAATGATAGTTTTCTGCACAACTGTCAGGTCAGCAGTTTTTCCCATGATTGTGATTCCTACTGAACCAGACTGAGAGACCATTTAAAGGCCCAGGAACCCTTTGCAGGTGTTATGGCTTAATTAGCTGGTTAGAGTGGACACTTTGAGCCTAGAATATTGAACCTTTTCACAATATTCTAATTTTCTGAGATTGTGGATTTGGGGTTTTCATGAGCTGTAAGCTATAATCATCTCAATTATGACACATCATGGCTTGAACTATCTTGCTTTGCATGTAATGAGTCTATCTCATATATTAGTTTCACCTTTTAACTTGCATTACTGAAATAATGAACTTTTGCACAATATTATAATTTTTTGAGTTACACACACACACACACACACACACACACACACATATATATATATATATATATATATATATATTTGTTTTCTTAAGTTTTCGCGGGTACTTACATGTATGGTGTTCGGCTTGGTTCGGGTATTTTCCCACGTCATTGTAGTTCTTTTAAAGTTGTAGCAACGTTTCAGCAGAATCTCATCTGCCATCATCAGGCTTCTGTATTGTGTCCGTCTGTGGGTCAGACTTTTACAGTGGTTTCAGATTTAAATTTGGGGCAGCCTATTGCTGTGCCAGAATGGTTTTTTCTTCATCCTGATTGGTTGGGAGTCTTGGTCTGTGTTTATTGGTCTCGGAGTTTGCTGTGTTCTGCTTGATGGGTGTTTCTGATATCTTCTGTCTGTTTTTTGGCTCTTTTTGTATCTTGATTGGCTGGCAGCATTGTGTTACTTTAATGGAGGTCTTTAGTGCAGCTTGGCTTCGGGTAAATGGACGGCTATCATTAGTTAGGAAGCTGGGTTTCATCTGGGTGCCTGGTTGGGGTGTGTTTGAGCTGGAGGTATCAGGGGGGATCTGTTTGTGCCCAGGTGTTTGCCTGGCTTGTGGTGTGGAGATTTTTTTGTTTGTGAGTGCAGGCTTCCAAATGATTGACAGCCTGGTGGAATCATCTCTTCTGTTCATGCTTTCTGGTCTTTTTTCAATCTCTATGGCTTCTCTGATGACTCTGTGGCTAGGGTTTTCCATAGTGGCCAGGGTTTTGGTGCCATTGAAGTTGATGCTATGACCTGTAGCTTCCATGTGTTGGACTAGTGAGGAAGTGTGTTCCAGCTTTTTGACTGCATTTTTGTGTTCATCCAGGCGGGTGCTTATTCTTCTATTGGTCTGTCCAATGTATGTGGCCGGGCATGATGCACAGGGGACTTCGTATATGCCTTGGTTTTCCAGGTCAATTTTATCTTTGGGGTTGCTAAGGATGGCTGCTATTTTTCTGTCTGTTTTGAAGGCAGTCCTGATGTGATGTCTGTGTAGTACCTTACTAATTTTGTCTGTAGTACCTCTTATGTAGGGCAGGACAGCTGTTCCATAGGTCTGTTCATCTTCTGGGTCTCTATTATGTTTCAGTGTGTTTTTGTGGA